GAAACATTCAACTTCGAATAAAACAATGTTTTACCCTTTTGTTACCAATCCTCCTCCTAATAACCCTTCCATGGTTTCTCGGCGACTTCAGAATAAAATCTCAGCTCCTTTCCTCGTCCAGCCCAATTAGTCTATCTCCATCTCTAGCGACTCTTACTCACTCTCTGTCTTGCCTCACTCTTGCTTGCGTCTCTGCCCTTACACACAGTCACACCCAAGGCTCCTCAGCCAACACCCAGCTTGATTCAGATAACAGATCTTCCCCACATTCAAACCTTTGCTCACACATCTTCTGCTCCAGAGCCTTACCTCAGCCATGAAGGTGGTTTGAGTTTCTTGTTTCATTCCCTATACTGAAATTTTCTGTTTACTATTCTGTCTTCCTTGTCAGAGACATTAGGTGCCTTGAAAGAAGATGTGTTTTTTCACTCATCCTGGGATGATTAGTAACTAGCACAGTGCCTTGCACAGAGCAGGTGCTCAACACAGACGAACAGATAAGCTAATGTGCAGTCGAAGGAGCTCAGACGTGTGAGGAATGGCCATTCGATAAACACAGGAAAGGGCACCCGTCTTTCCTGACCTACAGCAGAATCCAGAACTAACTCAGAATCAACAAGGAACTTTTCCAGTAGCTGAAGGTGTGACCTATATGCTATTTTCCTATCCATTCTTTATCTCTAGAGCTGTTGATTGTTTGCAAAGCACTTTCTGCTTGCTTGCATACATTACACCATTAAATCGTTAACGCCACTGCAAGATCACGTTACTCAGCTGGGATTTCAGGCAACAACCTCAGCATGTCCAAGTGGTGTAACAAAGAAGGACACTGGTCGGAGATGGTCTGAGCTCCAGCCTCTGGTCTGCCGTTCAACCACTGGCATGTTATTGAAGAAACAACCTAACTTATCCAAACTCATCTCTCTCTCGGACTTTGCCAACCTTAGTTAAGGTAAATTGTCATTTTTATACATGGTGTATTTATTATCAATGTTGGCATTTGGAGTTAGCTAATTGAGCCAGAAAGGGCACAGACTTTGGGATAAGACAGGCCTGGTTTGGACTCCGAGCTACAGCACGTAACAGTTGGGTAATCCTGTGCCAGTTTCTTAATCTCTCTGAACCAGTTTTATCACATGTAAAACTACTAATGATTAGAAAAGATAAGGAGTATAAAAATATTTGTAGATTTTTTAAGAGCCATATTAAGTTCTTGTTAATATAATTCTTGCTGGCCATGTTTAGGAAGGGCATAGGACAATGTTTCTCAAAGTGCTTTGTGTGCCACACAATTATGAGAGTACTTAATAGGCATGCCTTTAAAAAGTTATTGACAACTGCACGATAGCTTACTAAGAAAAGGATGTGAGAAGTCCTGCTGTGGAGAGATCTGTTTAACTGTCTTCAGCACGTCATTTCCTCGATGCACGTGAATGTGGAACACACGTTAACACCTTGTGGAGGATCAAGCATGGGAAACGCAGGGAAAGCTGTTCTTTCATCAGGCGACTCTTGTGATAAAATGTTCAGAGACAAATACCAAAATAGTAAAAATACTCTCCATTCTACCATCCATTGACTTTGCAATGGGCCTGTTTTCTAGAAAACAACTAAATAAGTACAAACCTATACACATACATGTGCAGGAGAAGTCCAGGTGGAATTTTAAGAGTAAGTCATAAATTCTGAAGGAAGAAGACCGAGGTATAATTGGTCATGGGGATGAAGACCAAACACTGTTCTGACTGGGCATTTATGATTGCCACTGGCTGAACTGCATTCCTAGGAACTTCCGGGATCACACCTCGTGATCAAGAAAGAAAAGTACTTTTTCATTCACTCACAGGCACAGTTCCTTTAAAGTTGTAATTGCTCTTTTCACATGGTAGCAAAAATTCATTATTTCAAATGGCTCTTTCCCAGTATCAACTCCTGCAACTTTAAAAGCTGCCATTAATTTCCCATTAGTAAACTTTAATTAAAATGAATATGTATCATTCCTTATAGCGGTTGCATTTGTAATACATGTACGAACACATGCAAATTGTGTCCAAATTTTTTCAAATAGCTATTCCTGAACAAGTAAACACTTTGATGTTATTTCAAAGGATTTTCTCTACAGAGAGCTTTTAGAATGTGGCCCTTACCTAAAATAACTAGATTTCCATGGAAATACAATGAACAGTTACCAACCAACCTAGCTAAAATCTATTTTATTGATCTTAGTAAGTAGCACGTTAAAACATGAATAATGGTCCCTGAGCTTTGAACCACTCACACCCTGGTGTTTCTGCACCATTTGTGCACAATGCCTTGAAAAGAAAAGCTAGAAGAAGCAGAGATGCTCCTAATTTAAGGAACCATAGTGGCCAAAGACGATGGTCTACTATAATAATCTGAGATGAACTGCATCTCACCAGCTTACTGTCAAAGATACATCTAAGCCCCAAGCTCCATTCAAACATTGTGCACTTAGGGAAGTCAAAACAATTCAGCATGCATGTAAGTGCAAAATTCCATGAACCCTCCGATCGCGTTTCAGTTTCCTACATTAGGCTAAAGTGTTTTGTTTTGTCTTGCTTTTAATCATTATAAGGAGAAAATGAGGCTGGGTCTTAGATCATGCTTCCACCAAGTTACCACCATCCTCCAAATATCTTAACCAGAACCCAAGAACAGTAGGATTAGATAATTCAGACATACATATTAAATACATTGTTCTGAATATGTAAACAAATATCTAAAAACATTTCCAACAATACTTCCTCCCAGATGACCACGTGTTAGCAGAACAAACTTAAAAGCCTCTAAGGGAAACACTGTAGAAATGCTTAACAAAAAGGAGCCATGTGTGACCACAGTTTCTCCAAGGGCTGGGTTGGTTAATGCAGTTGTCTGATGGCCTGTGGTCTTCCTTCTTCATTCAATCTCCCCCTTCCCCCTTGACAGCTTTGCTGTTGGCCAGTTGACCCAGTGGCTGTGGTCTCACTGAGATGTGTTTAGGCCCCTTTTCTTTTCCTAATTATTTCTCACTCTCTGCATTTTATGTCCTGAGATATTAAATGTCATTTTTCAATTGGGAAAATATTTAGTTTAGAAGGTCTAGGACACACAATTATAATTAAAACGACTCTTCAGTTCACAGAATTTGACACCCAATTTTTCATAAAGTATCAATCTGCAAGAAACTTAGATAGTTCTTCAGTCAACAGAGCTGAGAAGTGTTTGCATTGTTTACATAAATCTAGAAATTTTAAAGGTGAAAGTGAGTGATTTCCAAATCCTGCCTAAAGTTTGCAGAAGTTAACAAATGGAGTGTTAAGCTTCATTTGCTACATTATCAGATTAAGCCTGCTTATCCTATGAATCCCGGCCACTAAACAGTTTCAGTAATTTGAGTTTTTCACCAAACTTGAGGAAGCACATCAAACTGTAGTCTTTGCAATAGTCAATCATGGGAAATAGAGCTGTCATATTTAACACGTTTCAAAAAGTGCTTTGAGTCCAAACTAGGGAGGTTCCCAACATCAGTTTGTCTGATTGCATAACATATAGCACTTTTCCAGAAAGAATTTGTTTTTTTAAAAAAAAAGTTTCACAATTTGAAACTTCGGCAATGCTACGTGTCTGTGTCTATGGTTATGTCTAGCCTGCTTTACAAAGCAATGGTCCCAGGAAAGGCTGAAAAATCATCACACTTGGTCTTAATGAAAACACTACAGTTCACCAGAAACAAAAAGAAGTTTTTTGTTCTGTTCCACAAACTCTGAGTTGTCTCCATGTGGGATAACTCAGCATAAATAATGACTTCTAATGCTTTTTTTTAAAATCACAAAAATAACTACAAATGAAATTGAAAAGGACACTGGCTTAGCAGAATGTAGCCCCACATCAGTGCACTTGTGAGGAAGTTTCCTCACGTTACTTATATGTACTAAGTCATTTTAAACCAAAAAAAAAAATCCAAAAAGCAAAAAACAAAACTCTGGGATGTTAGCATTGAAATGCTTCAATACAAATAATTTTTGTAGATGTAAAATATCACTTCAAAAAGCTTTCAAAACATATAAAACTTGGAGAAGCATGTTTCCAAGCATACTGCTTTATTATATTCTTAAACCCGGGCAGTGACTGTTCAAATGATGGTTCCCTCTGCCCAAAGAATTTAGCCCTGTGGTCCAGTTTGTAAGTGGAAGTAACAACTGTGTAAAAAGACTTGGTGGATCAGACGACAAGCAGCAAAGCCAGTCAATGAAGATGCCAACTGTGATCAAAGTTTAGAAGACACACCACCTTTCCCCAAGGGTTCTTAGTTATATGAGAGATCAGATATGGAGATACTGCAAGCTAATCAGAAAGTGCACCATTAGAATAAGTTTGGGCCCCCTCAAGTGTACTTACTCACACCTGGAGAGAAATATAAATATAGTAATCTACCAAAAAGACAAGTGTGTCCCTACTAAGCTCTTTACTTGAAACACAGTACTTCTCTAGCCAGGATAATTAAAATGTGGGTACTTTTGAGCAACAACAATTCCCACCTAACTAAAATTAGCAGTTTTTCTCAGGGAACAAAAGAAGCCATCCAAATTGCAACATACACTTCAAATTCAACATAACAACAACAAAAAACGATTTTTAGAAAACGTGATAGGAATCCTCTCCTACTCACTAAAACCATCACTAAAAATATGTGTGTGTAGGGGCGGGGGTTGTAGCATATAAAGAGAGAAGCCAGGGAAACAGTGGGGAGACAGAGGGATGAGGTGCTCAAAGCCACTCAGCTGCCTTTCCCTTGCTCCCCACTCCTCTCCCACCCTAGGCTGTGATCACAAATTTAAAAATGCAAAGCCCCAGTTAAAACAAAACAAAACAAAACAAAAAGAGTGAGACGAGGGTTACTCCCACAGCAACCCTATACGATCTTCGTGCAAGAGCAAAGCAGTGGGGATGTAGGAGCAGCAGCAAATCTCCCTCTTCCCCCACCCCTGATACGGTACCTCCAGATCTGCCCGAGCTGCAAGATGTGGATGAGTGACTGCAGGAGCCAGATGCAGAAGGAGCAGGACGCAGACCTGTGCTTGCCGCTGGCCCGGGTGGCCCCGCTGCTGTTGATGCCGCTGTTGGTGGCGGGGATGTTGCTCTTGCTGGCGCTGGATGCTTGTCTTTGCGGCGTGGAAGGGCGAGCCTCGCCTTCCGCGGCTGCAGACCCGCTGCTGACCACCGGCTTGCAGTCCGCTCCAGACTGCGGGCAGCTGGAGGCGGCGGCGGCCGCGGCGCTGTCCTCGGTGCTGAAGTCGTGCACAAACCAGCGGAAGCTGAACACCTGCACCGAGAGCGAGCCGAGCACCACGAAGAAGAGCGTGAGCCCGAACCACCAGCGCTGGCCGCGCAGGTAGTAGTCCACGGCGAGCCAGATGTCAGTGCCCACGTCCGCGAAGTACACGGCCACGGCGGCCAGGATCCAGAGGCAGTCCCACAGCGAGTAGCGCCGCTGCTCCCTGCCCAGGCGCAGGCACAGCGCCGCCGAA